AACCATTGCGTCCGGACCTCTTGACTTTTTGTGATTAGTCTTGAAAAAAGGCCTGCGCTATACTCCTCCATAATTTGGACAGTTCTCAAGCATGAGACTGTTCGATATCAACTACCTGTCTGTCATGACTGATGCGTTCCTTAAGAATCGGCGGGCTTTTCTAGGGGCCAGTGGAGGACAAATTGGATTAAGTGTTTGCGTAGATATGTATTAAGCTGTATGAACATGTGCACCAAATTTTGTCTGTCTATGGCGGGTTTTCTCAGATTTTAGCTTTGTTTTTACAGATTAAGGATTTATGGGATGCCCTGTAGATCTCTTTGATCTTTACAAGGCTTTTCACAGGGTTCCCTATCAAAATCTTGTAAGAGAACTCGAAAGTCTGCTGTTTGTGATGCTTTGCTAGCTCGCCTGAATTATTAGCCGCAAGACGGATACATAATAGCCAGAATTGGTCATAATTACTCTAAAAATACTCACAGCAGCGGAGTCCCACAGGACGCCTATCCACCTTTGCTATTTCATGTAACCTTCAGGCTTGCCTAAAATATCGAAAACTTCATCAGTCAGTACTTATGTAAGCTGACGGGATTGAAATCTGTGGGTGCACGCTAAGAATGTCACAGCATCAAAATATGAAATGATAAAATCTAATAGGGTTCACCCTAATTAATAACTAAGGAATTCTTATTGATACCGCCCTCAAGTTTTTTCGGCACATAAAAATGTAGTCAGAAAAACATAAACAGTACCGTAAGCCATATCGAAATTTATTAGGTTGTTACATAAGTTCTAGGTTATAAAAATCAACAAAATGGGAAATTTTTAGCAAATTCAGATGGTAATATATGCTACGTTGTTGCGCACAACCTTCCGCCACCATGCTGTCAAATTTTCATTTCCCTTTTTCCAAAACTTAGCGCTTCCAGTCCCAAAAAGTCTGACCTTCAGAAAGCTTCAGAAATCGTCTTCGAAATCAAAACAGACGCCAACCATGTGAGATAGACTGGAACAAATGATAATGCTAAAGCGAGTTTCAGGAGCAGACTGGGTCAGAGCCTTCTACTCAGGTCTTGACTCTTTGCAAGGAGCTACGACGACGTTTGCCGTCGCGTGCCAAATTTGTCTTGCAAGAGAAGCTCGCTAGACCTATTTATTAGGCCTTTTCTGCAGTGAAGATTCGTTTAAACGGTGATTTTTGGTTGCGTATATGTCGACCATCTTGTTCCTACCTAGCTTTCAGTGCAGAACCTCCTGCCCCTCTTCCAAAAATCTTTTTCAGGAGCGCCCTGCAAACCCTTTGTTCTTCGTATTAGTCCAGTTCTTTTTTGCCTCATACCGACGGGAAAACGCCAACTTCCATAATTGGTGAAAAAATCTGCGCAAAACACTATAAGTAAAATTGAGCAAGTGCCGAAAAGGTTCTTTTTGCCTTTTGAAAAATCCTTCTTTGGAGTTGAGATTTTGAAACAGATCATTTTCTTATCGAAAACATCAAGTTTACTCTTAAAAGAGTGATCAAATCAAACTCTTCTCAAGGTATACACATTTGCCGCAAACCAACCGCTCCTCGAGAAAAAAAGAGGACAAAAAATAAGTTCTACAAACTTATGAAACGATTTAATACACTCACAACATCACTCAATTTCAAAGTTTCTATCTCATCTTGATATTGTTCGTGAGCGTGGAGCCCTTATAGTAATATGGATGTGGAGAAATCAAGAAACCAGGAAGCTAGGAAACCGGATATGTTCCAAACCGATATCGCTGAGAATTTTCACATTCTAAAGTCATAACTGTTTGAATGCATGCACTTCAAATTTTCGCCCAGATGGATCATCAATGTACTGACAAGGGTCTGTTCAATTTCTTACATTGTTTTGCTGCTTTTACACATTATAGGGATGAGAATCGCCAAGATACACGACTCTCAAAGAGAGAATTCATGAGAACGTGAGTATGTAACCTCATAATCTGACAAGTGCAGACGGGTGCCTGTGTCATGCACAACCTGATAGCGTTCTTTACAGAGAAGCAAGTTTTTTGATAGACGAGCGAGAAGTGCAAGCGAATCTCCAATCTTGTGTGGTTTAACTAATTTTTTTCCGTTTAGAACTTACTGTGAAACTCTTTGGCGCGAATACTGGGATTTTCGTTAACAGTGTATTTAAAAACTTTAGTGTGTGGAATTTCGGGTCAATTCAAGATTATCAATATTTCAGCCAAAACCAGCAACGAGGTCAAGAGCGAAAATCGAGAAAAATTAAAGATGGCGCCACTTTCTTAGAAAAAATTTGAGCATAGAGGTACTCGATCTGCTGATTAACACATCTTCTGCCCATGCTAGTTTCTTTCTTTAGGGTCAACGGTGGCTAAATTTCAGTAAATATGGATTCTAACAGAGTTTGCTAGCCATTTTCGCCTTCACTTCAAAGATACTTTGCACCGTTCTAGCTGCTAAGAAACTCGCGAAGCTGCTGTATCAAATGATGTTTATCTGAGGTCTCTATCTACATTAAGGATCGGGTTGCGCCCTAACAAAACCCATCAACATAATTGAAAACCTCAGATCAAAACTAAATGACTTCACCGATATATGGGGTAAATAGTAACAACGGAAGTGAGCGGGGCCTACAGTTCAAAGCTAAAAATTGGTAACACCGATATTTTAGAGGTTCCAAAACCTCCAGAATCGATAAAATCGAACATTTGGAAATAATCGGAGATTTCGCAACTTAAAAATTTTGATTTCGCCAATTTTTGAAACTTACACCAGGGTCAAGCTTGTGATGCGACTGTCGCAACGGGGGTCGTAAGAGGGTATCTAAGGTGGGGGGGGGGGGGGTCGTAAGAGGAGGTAGTTAGGCTAAAATACCCTAGGCTTCAAAGGGAATAAAAGGCAGACAATTAGTTATGTTGTTTACAATAAATCTATAGAAAAGTGGAAATCAGAATAAAAAAGATAAAAAGTCTGTAGAAACTCTCAAAAAAAACATTTACAAGAGCTTAAAACACTTCTGAAGGATGTATTATTTGATAAAAATGCTAAATGTACCGATTGCCCTAGAAATCTTGCTTCTGAAGCCTTCCTGAAGTCTCACACACTCGACAAAAGCGAATGTCTTTACCAGCTGTGACCATCATAAAATTCTAAATCTTTTTGTAATGTTTTTCACGGGCTCATATCATTTATCTGTACTTTTGAGATGCTCCGCTATATCAGTGCAAAATTTGGTGTTATTTTGTAAACTGTAGATTTTCTTATAATTTTATGTATGGTAGCAAAAAGTCAGGATAGGGGGGTCGTATCTGGGTCGGATCTAAATTTCTTCGGAGCTATTGGAGCTTGTTGGCTGCAATTCTGCTGCAATATGAGGCCATCCTCCTACATTTTCTCATAAAAATTGCAGGCTGTTTTATAAATTCTCTGGTAAGTTACAGACTTTTGAGCTCAAAAATCCCAGTTTTTGCTTTCTAGGATCGCATCTAAATTTGCGAGAGTGGCATCTAAATTTTTTCGAGCTTACTGCACCTCAAGAGCCGAAACTTTTTCTTTGGATAGTCTGGGCACTATACTACAGAACCTGTGCTTTGCAGCCTCTCAGTCTTTTCCTGGCCTTAGTTACGAATTTTCAAACTACCGTGCTCATGCACGTTTTTGACGTCGTTCTGGACGGCGCTCAAGCGGTTTTTTTCCGCGGGAAAAACTGTGGAAGAGGTAGGAAGTAAGCTTAGTCGAAAACATCTTTTGCAGTTCAAGAATGTCATTTTTTCTCCGTGCAAAAATTTGTGTCGCCTGCGGGAATCGAATTTGCTGGCCTGAAGTATGCCTGAAAATTCAAAAAAAAAAACTTGCAGAATCTCAAACATTGTTGAAGGTGAGTATGTGTGCTACAGATGATGGACGCACCCATTGGCCTAGAAATTCTGCTTCCGAAGCCTCACTGAAGTTCTCACGAAGGTGTTTTTTGAGATTGACATTCGTTTATACAGGTTACCGCGGGGAATGTGGGCAGGGGAGGTAAGGGGGAAATAATTGGGTGAGGGTGGGGGGGGGGGGGGTGGGAGGGGGAAGGGGGGAGGTCGTACGGATGGGTACCTTCAAGGGGGGGGGAGTCGTAAATGAGGGTCTCGGATCGCATCAGCACGCTTGACCCTGATTCACACCTCCAATTTTGAACTTCAAGGCTCCACTCACCTTCTAAGGCCCGCCCACTTCCCAAAACTCCGCCTACTCGACCACAAGCTCCCCCCTTTCTTCCCTCAACAGCCAGCTTACCCATTGTTAGCACCACCTCTCCCTATCACTGCAAAACTGCTAATCCACCGACCAAAGCAACGCCCATTTCACTCAAAACACCTTCAAATGAAGCTCGCCCTTTCCCTTCTCGACTCCGCCCACCTGCACTTCAATCGTTACAAAATGAGCGAAAAATGGCAGCCGGGAACCTGTTACACGCGTTTTGGTAATAGAATGGGAGGGGAAAATGAACGGTTAGAAAAAGAATTGCGTGGTTCGATCCAAAAAAGGCACTCCCATAGAGCGAGAACCTACATTTTCCTGGATTATATACTTATCCCCAATTTAAACATGGCTATCCCACTCCTACCCTACTATCACGACACCTCCCTCGCATCTATATACACCGTATTTTTGTAGTTTCCCATATGCAGTATGAAGTAAGCATCGCTGAAACTTGCAACTAACTCCAGCACAAGACCTGGTCACTTCAGCGGACGCAAAATAAATATTCCTTATATAAAGATTAGTTCTGGTCGGCAACAAACTTCATAGAGCTGCAAGTTTTCACTTCGATTTTGCGCTGTTTTGAGAAGTCTACGTTTAGCTGAAAACATCTGCTGCAGTGCCGACGGTGTTTTTTTCTAGAAATTTTATCGTAAGCAAAGTCAATGAGATTGCTCTTTCAGTATCCGATGTATATTTGGCTTCAAATGCAAGAAAGGTTTTATCCAAAGTTACGGCTGTTAAAAGCTGCATATTAATTAAGGATTTGCTCTCCATCTGTTGTGGTCTCTGGATCGTCTGTTGGAGTCTCCGGCTCATCTGTTGGGGTTTCTGGGTCGTCTGTCGGGGTCTCCGAATCATCTGTAGGGGTTTCTGGGTCGTCTGTTGGAGTCTCCGGCTCATCTGTTGGGGTTTCTGGGTCGTCTGTCGGGGTCTCCGGGTCATCTGTAGGGGTTTCTGGGTCGTCTGTTGGGGTTTCCGGGTCGTCAGTTGGGGTCTCTGGCTCCTCTGTTGTGGTTTCCGGAGCTTCTGTTGCTGAAAGGGAGTAGCCGAAACTTGTTGAACACCTTGATATTTTGCACCAACTCAAACTTACCAGGAGGAGGTTCTTGCAAACAAAGTGGACCAACTTTGCCATTATTGCTTGAGCATACAGCACCTTTGATGAGTTTTTTGCAAGGAGCGTCTTTCGTACAGCCCTTGTCGTTCTTGGAATCTGCCCAGTAAAGTGGCTCTCCTTCTATGGGCCTAGGTATAGGCTGATTTCATTGGTAGAATGGTCAAGTTTTCTGACAATTGTCGAGGTAAGTGGCGAATAAACTGGTTTTATGTGCTCCCTTGGTTTTCGAATTGCGCTTAGGAACAGTAAACTAAAGTTTCCGATCCAGTATATTGATCTCTTTTTTCCTGTTTTGCAGATAGATCACTGCTTTGTCAAACTCAAAAATCAGCGAGCGGCCGTGCGAAAGCTCGTGGTCTGAAATTTTTAGCTAGACACCCGTATTTGGGGGTCGAAGCTGCGAAAATTGGGGATCATTTTAAGATTTTTTAAAGCTCATTGAATGTTCACTTTACTGTATGAATGGATAGGTGCGGCGTTTTCTATATGAAGACCAATTTTTCTGAAATACTGCTAGCGAGTGCAAGAAATCAGTCATCGGTTTGCCCAATCGTGCCGGCATAGCTCCGACGATTGCGTGAAGTAATACCGAGAAGACTTCATGTAGTGAAACGCTGCATCTACTCATTCATCCAGTGGAAACGCAAACATTTAATGAGCTTCAACAAATCTTAAAAGCTCAAAACATATCCGTAAATGCGACCTCCCAGTGATGGTTCTTAGCTAGGAAGCAGTGACGGTCGCAGGATTTCCGACCGGGGGGGGGACACAAAAAAATCTAATGAAGGTGCGGGGCGTTAGCAACGCACACCGAAAAAATTTTTTGAGATGATTCCCGAAATTTTTGCGGACTTAAGACCCCGAAAATTTTCAGAATACTGATTTGAATTTTTAGAAAATTTTAAAAATCATTAATTGTTTACTATTATAACACCTGTAAGTAACCTTAAAAATTTCGCGACCCATCCTCGAGGGGGAGGGGGCGCTCTCGGACCCTGCTAGGAAGTCACAGTACATACAGCCGAAGGAAGTGGGGGAAAAGAATGCAAATAGCACGAAAAATTATGTTTTCATCTAGAAACAAATCGTGCCTATGTGCGATGTTTGTGAGAAATATTCTTCTTTTCATAAACACCTTTCTCAAAAGCCTCTTACAGCATTAGCCTCTTACTTACCTCTTCTCGTATACACACGCAAGAGCTACCTTGCCCTGGTCTTGGCAAAACAAGTAAGCACATCCAATCTTGAGCGTTTTGTTGTAAATCATCTAAAAGAGAGACAAGAGACATAGAAGCCGATGATTTTGGGTACTCGGAAGACGAAAAAGTTATTAGCTCATATGTCTAAATTCTTTCTGAACAGGAAACATGAGAAGCTTACATTAGCAAATGGCTCCATGGATGTGTCAGAATACACCACATCTGCGCTCAACGGATTTTCTACCGTAAGACTCCAGTCCTCCACAGCATATTCAAAAAGCTCAGCCAATTGCGCCGGTTTTGGGTTAGTTTTCAGTCGGTATCTAGATTCAAAGTCAGTCTTGCACTGCAGTGCTGATCTCTCTCAAAACATACGTAATAAAGTTCTCGCCCCTTCCAACTTTGTCCATGTATATGCTTGAATGCTTACATTTGTTTCCTATGGTAGCGAGAGCAAGTCCTTCGTTAGTGCAGTCGTATTTCTGCAAGGAGTCCAAATGTATGGGATTAACTTAAGCACTTGATATTACAGATTTTTACTTACTTACCAGCTTGAAAAGACTTTTTGATCCTGGTAAATTTCCATAAATTGCCTTGTCCAGCTGACGAGAAGCAACTTTTTCTCTGAGTAAATTGTGTTGTTCTAAGGCTGCCTCGCTAGCCTTAGCAGCAAGTCTGCAGGCTGCTGCAATTGAGAATTTTGAGTCTTGTCTTGAGTTCCTTAGAGGACAAAGCCCAAGACTAAATCATTCTACTCGGCTACTCTACCTGCAGCCTCCCCTTCTCGAAGCAGTATGAAGAACACCTAAAAGATAATTTTCAATTGGTTTATGGACTTCTGATAGTATCTAAAGAATACCAGCAGCAAGAACATTGTGTAAGAGTTCTCCTGTCGTGCTTTTGCCTGAAATGTCTTTTTCTGATTTTGTGAGAAGAAAAGTTGCAAAAGTACAATGTGTAAATAACTTTAGTCGAGTATGAGATATTAGGCTTTTCGTCAACACTGGATGATAGTTGCATGATAAGGGGCTTTTTCCCGCCTTTTTCTCTTTTTCTCATCTATTTAAATCTTTCTTATCGGTAAGGCTTTTATTAATATTGCCGTGACAGCCGTGACAGTAAGGTCTATGTCGGACGAAGGCACATAAGGGAGCAAATGCTTCGCGAGCGGTTTTTTCACCCATATTTGCATGATGGTTTCACAATGGTTTGGCCGTTGGCTTGCCGCGTACGCATTCCTTGAGGGCAGTGGCTCGGCAAGTTCCCGACCTCATTTGCCTACCTGGGGTAACTCGACGCGTAGGTTCCAAAAACCCGATTCAGAGAGCGCAAAAATGGCAAAGAACAGCATTTGCCAAGGCCCTTCAATCTAAATTCGGACGAGTGGAACAGTTCCCTCATGGTTGAAGACGCAGAGTCGTTGCGGACCCTTATTGTTATAGCATTGCGGCATGCCTCCTCCCACACAGAGAGCGAGCTCATCCGAGCGCGTGTAAGGCTTGTGCGCAGGGGTTTGAGGCAGCATGCAGTGCGCCCGACTTGCTCTACTTTCATATCTGGGGTGCAAGCAATCTACCACATTAGAATTCCGAGATGTTCACTTTTGTCGAGCCGCTACCTTTGAGTAAGTTTGCTCTATTGCGCCGTCCGCAGTCAACTTTGATGTTGAAGTAGCCTCTCTTAGGGGTCTACGATGCAACGCTCTTTTGAAACTGGGGTCTTTCATTGCCCGCATAAGCGTAGACAGAGATCGATCGTCTCGAAGGAGATAACAGTCTATTGGGCTTTAGCACTTCTGCAAAATTAAGCACGAAGACACCAAAGCATTCTAGCATACTTCTACAGGCTCAACGCTGTGACCATGCTAATCTCTGAGGTGGTGCGGCAGTGATATGAGCCAGCTTTTATGTCCTCAGATGGGGAAAAGTTGAGTGGTAGTATCAAAATCCTTAGAAGATGGATAGAAGAAAGAAAAGAAGAGAACGATGCCATGCTCACGAGACTAACGACTTTTATACTGACCAGCCCCATAAAATACTGAGTGAGTTATTCTCGGGAAAAAGCACTATCAATTCCATATTTCGATGTTAAGGTTGAATGATTATAGAGCAATAGAAAGAAGCACTAAGCCGTGAATTTGAATGGCAATATCGGGGCCCAGATGCAGTTAAGGAATTGTGCTAACGTCAAAGTAAACCGATAGACAATGGTTTTTCTTACCAATCCTTCAAAAGGGGAGAGCTATAACCGTGTATACAAATACACAATGTGGAAGAAATGTACAGAGTGTCCCAAAAGTATGTAAACGCCAATTGATCGTTGATATCTTCTTTCCCACAGTCTTTTGCTGCCTAATAGGATCATTCTAAAAAGTTTGTTGCGAGTTAAATTCACAGCATCGAACAAATCACAGTGAGACATGTAAGAATGCGCGTGTGCTAAAAATTTCTACCGTAGTCCTTTTTGAAAATTTGGAGGACCGTATAGCAGACTTTCACGCCTGCTTATAATGTATGCAGGTTTTGACATTTGAAGCCTTATAAATAATGTTATTACATTCTAGAGAAGACTCGAAAAACAGCTATTAGGTAGCTATCACCTAGCTTAACTATTAAAAGGAAGCATTATTCATCAAGTGGGATTTTCATACTTGAAGTGGGCTACTCTGTTAGCCTGGAGCAAGGCTTCTGAATTGATTAATTTTTTATAAGCAAAATGATTCGCGCTATTCTGAACGAAGTTATGCGCATTTTCCTGTGCAAAATCTCATGCTATCAACAATGGACTCAATGGACCCACCCCCTGTCATAGTGCCTGTAAAAGAATCTAGAAGACAAGCTGGAAGAACTTTAGCACTGAAGATAGAGTTGTAGGGCGTTAGGCAAACCCGACTTTTTGGACCCCAGATAACTCCCCGTGCAAAACATCTCCTCCGCCAAAAACAGGGGGGTGGGGGTCGGGGCCGATACATTACTCGACGCCATCAAAAAAATTGCACATAGTTTTGACTTACGGGCTTTACGTTGATTGCGTTTTGCAAGTCTTGCCTAACGCTTGCCCTCCGTGCGAGCCATGCGTTTTGCTATCAGTGCTTCTCGTGCAAGCTCCTTTCTTGCGCAATACGCCACATTTGATCGTTCTAGATTGGTGGCGATTTTCTGCAAAAAATGTCCAAACTTAAGGAAAAATCAAGAAATGAAATTACTTCTCGCAAGTTTATTTCACAGCTGGATAAAAATGTATTGTTCGCAAAAATTCTGGACCCACGTTGAGGCGAGCATAATTCCTCGTCTTCCAGTCATCAAAGATACGTTGAACGTTTAATATTTCAATGCTGACAAAGTTGTTGCCTGTTAAAAATTCGTCTTCACTCATAATCCAAACATGATCTTGAATCAGAAATTAATTCCCCAGATTTAGAAGACACCCGCTCCGTGAATTGCATGTTTCTCCCAATGACATCCTTAGAATTCTGAATAGAGTAAGACCTTCACTTTCAGCACTTTGGTATACCCCAAAGTACTAGATGTGCTGATGCGCTCTCCAAACCTCTGAAACACAATTTTCAATTCCGATGTTGTCGACAATGACTGTGCCGTGATGTCAGCAATTTTGCAGGAGCTTTTGCTGTTTGCATAGTGCGCTCACAGGTAAAGCTTCTTGTACGAACAATTTCGAGATCAAGCCGACTGAAAAGTACCTGTTGCTTAATCTGCACATGTATAGAGGTGAGTGTTGGTAAATTGTTAGTTAGCGTGTTTTTTATAGAAATTTTTGAGTGTGGACCAATCAGCCTCAAACAGGGCCCGGCGGGGGTGGCGCTTTCACAAGCTGGATATCGTTTTTGGCCCGAAAAAGCAAAGGGGAAGTCGTTTTTTGGGGTCCGGGGCGGAGCCCCGGAAAAAAATTGGTAGTTCATGCTCGCTGCTTATCTTAACATGTTATGTCCCTCAACAGGCGAACACTGGAGTTCGCGCGTGTAAAACCGCGCCGTCGCTAACTGCCGCACGCGCGACGTCGCTCAAACAATGCTGTTTGTAACGCATAAATGAGTTCTCAATGTATGCGTAACGATATGGCACCAAATTTTGTAAGCGAACGGAGAGAGGCTAATGGAAACAAAGTATGAAAAATCATGAAAAACTTTTGTGAACGGAACGAGTAATAAGCATTTTTTCCGAAAATTTTGTAAAATTGGTAAATGAAGATGCGCATTCAATTGGCTCGTTTGCAACGCGCAGATGACGGTATGCTACGAGACTTGGTACATACGTGGACACAAGTTTGTAAGAGATTAGTTAGGAGTTTCATTGAAAAATTATGTGACTGAAGGTTGTAGCAAGGTTTTTTCTGAAAATTTCCCACTATCAAGAAAATGGAAAAATGGCTCGTTTGAAATGCAGAGGTGACGAAATTGCGCGGGATTTGGTGTGTATATGCGCAGTAGGACTAAGTAACAAAGTATGAAAAATTATGAGAAACTTATGTGAATTTAAAAAATGGTAAGTGTTTTTCGAAATTAGGTGGCTCCCGCGCCACCTGGGAGCCACCTGGGGTGGCTCCCTGCTTTCCTTCACATAATTTCCCGGATTTCTTTACATAAATGTGGCTTAGGTCGAGAGTATTACTACATGTTCAAATCCGCTTCCAAAACCACCAAGGCACCGCTTCGATACAGCCCCAAATAGGGTTCACAGCGTTATGGTCGGCCTCGGAAAGCGCGCTCCAATCGCAATCTGTGCACCTTGCACAGACGACGCGGAAACTTTGAGAAATTGGCTTTTTGCTAGATTACTGATCGCTGATTGAAGCAATCTTCTCAGTCTTCAACCGATTGCTTCTTCGATAAGCCCTACAAGGGCTCAGAAGGCTCAGCGATCATATTTGATCGTAATGTTTTATGCAAAAAAGTTGTTTTTGTAATCGTATTTTTTCAGTTTTCGCAATATGGTCAATTTTTCCGTACTTTCGCTCTTTTGGGTCGTTATTAATAAGTCGTTAGTAAGTGTAATTTTTGGCCATCCTCTCAAACGATGACCCGGGCCGGACCAGGAAAGCCAGGTAGTACTACTATAATAAGCGCTGAGGCCGCCCATCTTATTATTTGTGTATATCTGTTTGTCAGGGACTTACGGGGGCCAAAAATAGGGTCAAAGGGGAATTCGTAAGAAATTTTGGCTTCAAAGGGAATATCGTTTTCAAAATTCTGAAATGCCACCTCCTGCCGGGCCCTGGCCTCAAACTTTGCACACATATTTTTCGACGTGAACCATGAGCCAGTTAAACCCACGGTGCAGGCGAAGCTGGGCATGCCAGCTAATAGTAAATAACTCTTTTGCGTTCATAGCTTTTGCTGATTTTCAAGATTAATGTAAAGCTACTCTCCCTCTGCAATTGCGGCGAAGCCCGAATGCCGTCCTCATTCATAACCGTATGATTAAGAAACAAATTCCTGTAACGCTGTCCTGTCACTGAGAGGAAGAAGTTTTTGGAAGCAGAAAACGAAAAAGCGGAAATATAATATGAAGTTAGTGCATAATTGCCATTTTCCCAAATGTCTAGTACAAGTTGACTGCAACATTTTGACCAGTTTGCAAAATCTTGGGAACGTAATTTTCAGATTCTCAGACAATTGCATCGGGAAGTTCGCGGGTGCTTGCTCGGAAACCAATCTTCCATGCCCCGAGCTGCCCGGTATAAACCGATATTGGACCCGATAAGTGAGCGCGGCGCATCCTGTAAGCGCCCGATAGTTGGCCCGATTAGCATGCTTGTGAGGCCTAGGAAGAGTGAAGAAATTTTGGCGTGTCTTTCATGACAACGACTGAGTACAAACTGAGCAACTTGTTAGCTCATTTGTCGACATCATCTATT